CCCACTGTTCCACCCTTTCCACCTTTGCAATATCCCTACTTGCTGGGAAGAACTAGAGACTGCAACATTACCAAATGTCACAGCTGTCTGCAGGGGGAAAGTCCCTTTTTAATTATTAGCATGCTCCCAGTTCATATTTTCCCCATTAGGTGCTTCCACTCTGTCTGCAATCACACAGGGGCTGTACTGATGGGGAACAACGTTATTGCTGGGGGGAAAGTAGTAAAACAAGCTCAAGAGACCTGCCTTCTCCCTCCCCAAGATTCTTTTTTCCTACATGAAACAAGTGTTCTTTGCTGCATCAGGCAGTGAGCATCAGCTTAAAGCTTTTTGAGCAACATGCTTTAACAAAGCTTCCACATGAAAAATGGGAATGACACCAGAGAAAACTTGTCTTCCAAGTGGTAGCAAATTTCAAATTACTTGACTTATATTTACCCTTAAGGCATAACAATAAAAGCAGTTTAAATTGATATAGTACATCTCATCCCTAAGGATCCCCAGAAATGCAACCAATTGATAAACAGCCCACAGTTCATGCAGAGAAACACAGACCTTCCCAGATATGCAATGCATCAGTTTAAGACTTGCCAAAAATAAGCTGCAGTCAAAAAATAAAAGCAGACTAGTGTAGCCGACCAGAGCTCTAGATCCATTAGACTCTGGTCAGGACACTGCAGCTAATTATATTTTTGTGTCCATGGCACATGGGTAGAACTTTAAATGCCCTAATTTGGACCTTGGCTTTATGTGCCAAAAATTACCCTGCAAACTATTTCCTTGCATATGATACCAGCTTAAACAAGGTGCAGAAATGCTTGCTACTGCATCCACCATTCTGCTCTTTGGGGTATATGACCAACCCAAAAAAACCTCTGATGAAAAGGTTTGAGGAGGTAGGAATACAGGCCACATGGCACATGTGATTACCTTTGGCCTTCATCCTTGCTGACAAAAATGGACTTTGCATAACTTTCCTTTCTCTTATTTGGCTGTTTTTTTTAAGCTTTCAAATTAGTTACTTATATTATTATTAGAAAGCAGGAGGGAAATACATTTTCCTTGTTTACCACTGGACTAATTGTTTGGAGCTGCCTGGTTCTTATCTCTGTAGCAGCTGTAAACGGGAAGCTGAGATATGTGGATTTTAACTGCAAAATATTATCAAAATGACAATGTCAAGTGTCCCCTGGCTTCCCTTGCAGCAGCTAAGTCCATAGACTTTTGAAGCAATAAACCAGAATCCTATTCCAAGGGACATCTGCATGTACACATACCTGTACAGACAGCAGGTCTACTTCACTGCTTTGTTTTGCTTTTGGCTTTAACATCCTGGGCCAAGATCTTGCTGGATGTTGTTAACTGATATATTTCCTGATGTATTTCCTAGGAGCCAGGTACATTCTTCACAATTAAATGAGAGGAAACAGTTACTGAGGATCTGCAGCAGCAGCCACAAAAGGATGAAGATGTGGGACCAACTCTGGTAAATCAACAGCACTAGACAGTTGTCATGATCAGTGTGGCAATCAGGAAATTATAATTTAATGTGTTTACTGGAGGAAGCAGCACAAGAATTCTTCACGTACTTTTAAAACTGATGAAAACCCTACTGCCCCTTTTCAGTATTCAGACACTTGAGGCTGCTTCTAGGAGCCCTGCCAGTTGCTTTCTGCAAGGTAGAATAAAAACAAACATCACATCCCTACAGCACCACAGCCTTGCCAAGTGAGTGCTCAGGGTGCCTGAAGTGGAGGAGGCTTTTGCAAAACCTAGCTCTTAGGTATCAGGTGCAAAACCACCTCCCATGGTTAGTTTTTACATTGGTAAATAACTTTTAGGTAGTCCTTTGGCCTTGAAGTGCCTGCTGGACCAGGCAGCAGAGATGCTAACATAATCCCAATTAGAAATGCAGAGAATGTTGATCTCCTCTCAAAATGACAAGCACAGAAAACACTTCTGTGAAATCAATGCAGACATAGCAGAGGTATTAAACCAGAAGACACAAGCAGACAAAGAAGGTTCAGGTTGGCACAGATGACTGCAGGTTGATGAAGTTGTGCTCCTGTTTCAGCAGGGCCAGCCCCTGTCCCTGGATAGGTACAGCTGCTCCAGCCCCTGGGGGCCTGTCTGAGCTTCCCAGAACTGCAGCACTTGGCTGAGAGGCCACACAGGAAACTAGGGTTGTGACAGGCTCCACCCTATATCCAAAAAGCTGAGTTTGTTTCTTTCTATTCTTTTTCTCTTGGGGACCATATATAAAATTGCATAGAAAAACTGCTTGAATGTGATAATTAAATAAATAAATACATAAAAAGAAAAAGGACAGTACTTCAACAGCACAAAGCAGTGCCAATGACTTTCACCAGTCCAAGACCTTTGCTTTATGCTATCTTCTTTTGTGTCATCCCTTCAGGCAAATATTGTACCACTGTGCTAACTGTGAGGAGTTACAGCAAAGACAGCAGCCTTATTTGCTTAATGGTTAATGAGGGCTCCACTGGCCCCTGCATCTGCAGCTAGCTGCTGCTTTGTATATGGGTTTAGGGCTAAACCCCTTCTCCAGCCCTGCTTTTCGTGCCCTAACAGCCCGGGTTAGTGGCCCATGTGTGGGCCCCTCACCATGCCTAGGGCCAGGCCGCAGAGCAGCAGCGTCTCCCTGGGGCAGGAAGTGGGCTGGCCTCAGCATGACTTTCCATCCAGAAAACATTTTCCATCACCTTTCTGCCACCTACCACTGGCTGCAGTACTGCCAAGTTAAAACACACAAAATAAAAGCATCTTGTGTGCCTCTGAAAAGAGGCTGCTTGCAAACGCTTGCTAAAAATAGTTCTGTGATGGCCTGTGAGGGCAGCTGGAGGTCTCTCATAGAAGGAGGCAAAGAATTCCCTTTGCTGAAGCCAGTTTACAGCCATCACAGCTAGGACAGGAGTTTTCAAGTTTAATGTCTGTGTGGTTCTAGCAGAATCTCAACTGCAGAAAGCAAGGTCCTTGCTGGGCTCAATTCCCCTGCTAGTCAGAGCAGGAGCTTGCTTTTCAACTCCCATCTTCCTTTTTTTGAAGAGCTGCAGATAGGAGGAGATTAATTTGTTAATTAAATTTCCCCTGCCAATTTACATTAAAAAGGGGAAACTGTTTCAAAAAGCTCACGGAACTTTCATAACCTTTACCTTCAAAAAGACAGAGTTTTATGGCTTTTTTCTAAACCTGCCCAAAAGCACCACTGGATTGTCCCAGGCCAAGTAATGAATACTGAAAAAAAGTCCAGGAATGGCACAGCTGGGCTGAAAATTAAAAACATTTGCTAACAGAAAGCCAGGCGTTCTTCCTCTCCTCTGGCTCTTCCTTTTATCTTTGGATTTTCCCATAAGTTCTTGTTCAAAGGGATGCCATCCCATGGGAAAATGACAAAAGGAAAAAAAGTACAGACACTGTTACTCAGTGAAGCCAGCAATAGTTGCAAGAGAAGAAAAATTCTTCATGGGAATCCCCTACAACTGAGAAGCAGAAGCAAAAATTCACCAGGAAAAAATTCAGTGCTGTCAGCTCCACAGACAAACAATGCCTTTTATCCATGTGGGATCCTGCATTTATCCAGTTTTTAGTACCCACAGACGGCATGACAGCAGTAAAAAAAAAAAAAAAAGCAAAGAAGAGTCACTAGAAATGGCCAGAGAAAGTAAGAATAGTGGCTGAAGATGTAATTTCTTCTTTAAAAGATTTGTTCTGTTATGGAGTGAAAACTTGCACAGCAGAGATGAAAAATCCTCTAAACACTGAGGCAACAGCGGCACACTTGCAGGCATGGCAGTGTAACATCCATCATGTGCAATCCTGCCTGAGTGTCTCCAAGAAGTGACACTCCTCAAGCAGGGCAAATGCAGTGCACTGATCCAGCCTCAGCATTGCTCCAGTGGTGTTTGATTCCCTGACATTTTACCATGATTTTACTGCCCTGGGCTTGCTAAAAAGCCTGTTCCTAATCGTTAGATAAGCGCTGGTTAACGACTCCTAAGGTGGTCCCTCTCATCAGACTTCACAGGGATCCTCACAGCTCAGGGCTCTGTCACTGTGCAGACTGTGCTGCACTGCACCTCGGGGTGATGGAGCTCCTAAGGGCGTTCATGCTCACAGCCTGGCCCTCTGGCCAGAGACTGCTGGGGGACCACACTGCAGCCTTGCACAGCTTGAGGGCAGCCTGTAAAAACACATGGGCTTTGTAGCCCGACCTGCTGCCATAGGACAAAGGGTAAGGGTTTAAAACACAAGGAAGGTCAATTTAGATTAGATAAAAGGAAGAAGAATTTTTTACAATGAGGGTGGTGAACCCTCTGGGCAACCCAGAGGTTCCCAGAAAGGTGGTGGATGCCCATCCCTGGAAAAATTAAAGGTCGGGTTGGATGGGGGTCTTATCCAGTTGAAGATGTTCCTGCTCATGGCAGGGGGGTTGGTCTAGATGGGCCTTTATTTTCTCTTAAGTTCTTGTTCAAAGGAATGCCATCCCATGGGAAAAGGACAAAATGGGGGGAAAAAAAAACCAACACAGACATTCAGTGAGGTCAGAAATAGTTGCAAGATGGAAAAAACCCTTTTTTATAGAACCCTTCCAACCCAAATTATTCTATGATGCCGCAGCCCCTCTTCTGAAAGTGATGGAATGTCGGGGGGATGCACTCAGGGCCAGCAGTCCCCGCAGCGCGCCGGGACCCCGAGGCGCAGCGGGACCCGCCAGGGAGAAGGCACCGGGAGTCCCAGGACCGGGCAGGGTAGGGCAGGGAAATCCCCGCGGGGCGCGGCAGGGAAGTACCGCCGGGGACGCCGGAGAGGCGAGTACTTCCCCCCTGGAAAAACGCCAAGTTCCCTCTCGGCCCGGCCTCTTCCCTCCCCTCCGACGCCCCTTCTGGGCGGCCCTAGCCGCTCCGCCCTCCCTGCCAGCGCCGGCGGCGCCAAGCAGGACCGGACCCGTCGGTCGGGCTTTGACTGGCTGGAAATTCCCGTCCTCCGCGGCTCCTCCCCCGCAGAAATCCCCCGGCCGTGCTGTATATGCGAGGCGCTGCCGCCGCCGCCGCTCACTCGCAGCGCCCGCAGCTCCGCCGCCATGATCGCCGCCCGCCGCGCCACCGAGCCGCCCGCCATGGACGGCTACGAGCACCCCAAGAAGGAGCGCCAGGGCGCCTTCGCGCTCGACGACCGCCACGACAGCGGCCTGGACTCCATGAAGGAGGAGGAGTACCGGCAGCTGGTGAAGGAGCTGGAGGACATACGGCTGCAGCCCCGCGAGCCACCCGCCTGGGCACAGCAGCTGACGGAGGACGGGGACACGTAAGTGGGGGTCGGAGCCGGGGCAGGGGTGGCTCGGGCACGGCGGGGAGCTCGGCACGGCCAGTCCGGGACAGGATGTGCTTGCCGGCGGGGCGGCGCCGCTCTGGGCCGCGCCGGGAGGGAAGGGAGGGGGTGCGGAAAGTCCCTGGAGCGGCGCCAGGGAGAGGCGGCTCCCGCGGCCGCGGAAAGCCCCGGCCGCGCCGAAAGCCCCGGCTTGCGACACCGCGCGTGACCCGGCCCGGCCCGGCGGCTCAGCGTGGCGTCAGGGGGGTAACGCGTGTTGCTTCATTACTCCTTTTTCCCCCCCTGCAGTTTTCTCCACTTGGCCATTATTCACGAGGAAAAAGCCCTGAGCCTGGAGGTGATCCAGCAGGCAGCCGGTGACCGGGCTTTCCTGAACTTCCAGAACAACCTCAGCCAGGTACTTTCACCTCGATAGCCCCAAATCCGGATCAGCCCCTGCCACACCCACACACTCCCTCTGGGGAATTCCCCCCAAAAAGTCCCTTTAATTTTTTTTTTGTTTTAATTGATGGAATCAATTGAATCAAAGCCTACGTTCAGGAAAGTCCCCAGCTGGCTCCAGCCGGGGTTGGTACAGTGCTTCCTCTCCCCTGAGAGAGTGGCATTTGACGCCCACATTTTTCAAATATGATGCCATGGGTTGTATCCCTCTTTATGGAGATGTTAATGATACCCTTCATACCAGCTGGCGGTCGGTTTATCCAGAGAGCCCAAAGTTCATCACTTCCAGATGAATGGGCAGCCATACAACATTGGGAAGCATAAAGAGCTGAGTTTATGGGGTGTGCTTTCATGCTTCTATTTGTTGGCAGAAATCACCAAGTGAACAAGAGGTCTGCTTGCCTAGATGTTGGTGCCAAGTTTGTGGTGTAACTTACAGTGCTTTTGCTCTTATGCTTGCAGACTCCTCTTCACCTGGCAGTGATAACTGATCAGCCTGAAATTGCTGAGCATCTTCTGAAGGCCGGATGCGACCTGGAGATCAGGGATTTCCGAGGAAACACCCCCCTGCACATCGCCTGCCAGCAGGGCTCCCTCACGAGCGTCAGCGTGCTCACGCAGTACTGCCAGCCCCAGCACCTCCTGCCTGTCCTGCAGGCAGCCAACTACAACGGTACGGACACACTCCTCATCCTGGCTGCCTCAGGGCAGGGTCGGTCTCCTGTGGATCTCAGCGATCTCTGGAGAAGGATTATTTTGTCCCATTTGAGTGTTGAGGAGCTCAGAACATACAGCAGTGTCTGACTTTTTTGAAATGCGCTGTCTTGTAGGCCTTCTCACTGTTGATTATAGTCTCTCATGGCTTTGAACTTTGCATTTTTAGTGAGTGCCTTTGCCGTGCTCCTTTTTTTGTTTGTAATAAGTTGCACTCAAAGACTGGAATAAAGCCTCCAAGAAATCTTTTCAAAATCCAGCCCTTTTATTTATACTGGAAGCTGGAAAGCTTTTCTGGAAAACACCCTTTTGCCGTGAATGATTTAGACACCATCCTGGCCTATCATCTTGGCTTTTAAGTAATGATGAGGCATTGAATTAGACTTACTCAAGTTTTCCCTTTGCTTGTGTCTTCCAGGACATACGTGTCTTCATTTAGCATCTATCCAGGGATACCTGGCTATTGTGGAGTATCTGCTGTCCTTGGGAGCAGATGTGAACGCACAGGTATGTAATGTGTACCATCAATTTACCCAAGTAGGGCTCTTAAGAATCAGTAGATTAGAATCAACAGATCTGACAGTGGCTCTGTCTCTCCTAACATGCCAAACCTTTTGCTGTTTTCACACAGGAGCCATGCAATGGCAGAACAGCACTACATCTGGCAGTCGATCTGCAGAATTCAGAACTGGTGTCGCTTCTGGTGAAACATGGGGCAGACGTGAACAAAGTGACCTATCAGGGCTATTCCCCCTATCAGCTCACATGGGGAAGAGACAACTCAAGCATACAGGAACAGCTGAAGCAGCTGACCACAGCTGACCTGCAGATGTTGCCAGAAAGTGAGGATGAAGAGAGCAGTGAATCGGAGCCTGAGTTCACAGAGGATGAAGTAAGTAGCTGCTTTCATTTTTACGAGAGAAAGGGGAAAATCCTGTTCTGTGCAGGGTATTTTTTGGTGTCACTCTGATAGCAAGCCCCAGTGACCTCTTGCTGTGTAACAGATAGGTATACCAAAGATTATGCAATCAGTAAAATGGCAGATGAGGCAAACATATAAACAGAGTAAGAATAAAATGTAAAAAATAACATGAGGGAATGGAGGTTAACTTCAAACGACATGGTTCTCTGAACACAGTTCTGTTGCTGACACAGAACCTCATGAGAGAAAATTCAAGTTAGTGGGTGGTTTTCTCCTCCCTAGGATTTGTTTTTCTGACATTCCGAGTGCTGCATTAAATGGTGTGTGTAACCATTTTGGTGTAGAAATTTTATACACTGCTGAAGAATTTGTATGTAGAATTTGGCTGTTTTCCAGAGTGGATATGATACTTTATGTAAGATTTTTGCATTAACAGCATTTTGGGTTTTTTTTTTCCTGCAGCTTATATATGATGACTGCCTTATTGGAGGACGACAGCTGGCATTTTAAAGCAGAGCTTTCTGAAAAGAAGTGACTGTATACATATGTATAGAAAAAGGACTGACTTTCTTCACCTAAAAAGAAAGTCACAATGTGGAGAGAAAAAAAAGGAGGGAAATACTACACTGCCCAGTAAGGAGAAGGAGCACGTTATTGTAACAGGACAGTTCCAGGATCTCCCTTACGTTTAAATACAGGAGTGGGATGTGTAACATCAGTACAGATCTGTGATTATTCACACCACCTGATAAAGAGCCACATAGCCAATCTTCTCAGCCATGCAAAGGTAACAGACTACACATCCAGCATGCTCATTACAGGAGCTTTCTTGTGGCATCAAGTACTACAGGGAACAAGTGACCTTTCATGGCAAGGTGGACTCATGCCAACACCGCTTTTCAAAGACTCTACCGTTCATTTGTGCTGGGCTGGTGGCAGTCCCTGTCCTTTCTGACTGACCTCAGCTGCTCTCAGGTAGAGGAGTCAGAACAAGGGACTGCTGCTATCTTGGCTCTTAGGCAAAGTAGGAATAATGTTAACTGTGGGCATTGGAAAAGTGTGTTTCACACTGTGTGTGTCATAATTGCTACACTTTTTAGCAACTGTATATTGTGTAAATACTGTACATTTTTTGTTTATAATTATTTTGGTACATGTGAGATATGTATTTATTAAAAAAAGTCTGATTACCGTATGTAGTCTGTAAAACAGTTCATTGCCCACCTCCCTGAGATCATGGGAATCTACCTGGTTTGCTTTTTAAGAAACGTTTTGACACCTAGCAGCCCACTGGGGTAACATTCTCAGGGATTTTAGGTGATTCACCTCAGCAGTGGTAAGCCATCTAAGCAGCTTGCAGCTCTCAGCCCTTCTGCTGCAGCTAATTTTGGAAGCAGACGTAGGTGTTGTTTCCTGCACCCGCTGCAGCAGGCGGATGGTGGGGCTGGGATTCCCCCTCTCCTCCAGCTCTGGGCTGCCAGCCCACCAGAGAGGGGGCTTTAGGCTGCTTTTGGCAGCACCCGCCCACCTGCCCTCATGGCACCTTCTGTTCCAGCTCCAATACTTTGCAGCTCTTGCCAGGGGAAGCTGGAGGTTTGCAGCACAGCCCTGTGTCTGTTCACTTTTTTTTTTATCACCTGGCTCAGCTTCACTTTGAACTCTGACCCCTTTGGAATTTCCAAAGGGGATTTCCATGGGAAGAGGAAACACATCCTGGGAATGTGTGCTGCTGCCTTGCATCCCTGAAACTCAGGTGAGGCCCCCCCATCCCCACTGCTGGAGCTACAGTTCATAGCAATGAAGGATGTGGCTTTAATTGCTTCAGTTATTCCTCAAGTTCCTCTCCAGCATTCAGGCAAGCAGTCACTTTGCCAAAATCCTCTGGTCCCCCTCATTACCTGCTGGCAGTGCATCACAGCACTGGAATACTTTCAGCAGCAGACTTTCAGCCTGTTGTGTGTCCATGCAGAGGATGAGTTGTGTAAAAGGTGACCCTGCCCTGTTTGTGCTGTACCCCCTGATGGAAACAGGGAGCAGCAAAGCTGCTGACACAGGACCATGGAGCTCTGCCAAGAGCTGGCCAGGGAAATTCTGTGCTGCTGGCACCTGGCCCAGCTCAGGCTGTTGGAGAATGCTATGGCCCCCAGGTTGCACAGGGATACCCATTCCTTTTTCTGTCCTGCTCTTCCCAAAGGGTTCCTGACACACAACCTGCTGTAAGGAGAGTTTGCTGGTATGTGGAAAAACACCACAGCCGGCTGTGTGCTTCCTGATTCGTATGGGAGCCAAAGGCCACTGTGGAAAGGATCGTATAAAATTGTCATCCTGAGTCATTTTTATTTCCCTTCCACTCTCATTGCACAAGTATAACCCAGGTATATGCACTGAAACTTCCTTGTGGCACTCATGGCTACATCTGCAATGCAAGCCTGCATTTTCCAGGTGGGGGGCTGCATAAGAATCTGCCAAAACTTTTTCCTTGTTGGGAACTCACCCTGCACTCTTACCAACCATTATCTCTGAGCTGGGAGTGTTGACTGTGGGAGTTTGCTCACTTGCTGCTGCAGGTTTTTCACTAGCAAAGAACCCAAAGTGATTCCAAGCTGGAAATAGAAACAGCGGTGTTCCGCTTGCTGTGTTTCCATTCCCCCTTGCAAAATAGGAGCTGGAAATGCTGTCACGGCCCTGCAGAGGCATTCAGCTACAGCTATCAATGGTCTAAAAGTCCTTGGGTGCATGGCTGGGGCAGGTATGCAAATATTTAAATAGATACCATCTGAAGGCAAATACTTCTCATTTGAAGGCTAGAGGGATGGAGAAAAATGCAGTTATCAGTAGTACCAGGCTGGCTGAGAAGTTTCGGAGGCAGTGGTACATTCTCAGCTGCCCATTGCAATATTTAGACAAAGTATCTAGAAAGGTACTGCTATAATCTTACAATAATTCTGCAATGACTTAATAAATTAAGCAAATGTTTTACTGTACGAGGAAGTTTTGCAGCTAAACAAATCATTGTTGAAATACCACATGCTGGTTTTGCTACTGTTTGCCTCCACCTGTCATGCAAAAGTAACCATGCAACATATGCAGAGGAACCATGGGTAAAGCCAGTAGGACAGAGATTAATGTGAGAAAATGTGCTTGTTAGCAAAATAGGTTGGGACATGTTGTGTATTTGTGCATTGCTAATGCGGAATTACTCATTGGAAAGCTTTGCCTGTTCACTTGGTGATATGGGAAGATTGTCCACTGCAGGACATCCCCCTGCCCCCCCCAGTTTTGAATTGTATGCCCTTTAACTGCTGCATTTCCACCCTGTCTCTGCCCCTTCCACACCTATACCTTTAGAAAGATCTTCTGAGAGTGGTTTTGGTGACAAGCTGCCTTAATGCTGTCTTCTTGAATTCTGCCCAGATACATGGCATGGTCCCATAGGATATAGAGCAAGAACTCCTTATGCATTTATTCTTTCCAGCATCTCTTTTTCCTTATTCAGATAGCATGGCTGCTATTTGCAGAGCACACTAGCTCATTCTTGCTTCTACTGCCAGTGCCTCCCCTCACTGGTCCAGGGTTCAAAATTCTGTCCAGCACCTTTGCCACATGGCCTGTGTGGCTCTGCAAGCTTCAAAAGCATCCATGCCAGTGCAGATCGAGGTCCTGTGCAGTTCAGGTTTGGTTTCCTAATTGGCCCTGTCTCCATTAGCCTCCTCACTGTCCTCAGCCCGTGCCCTGCCTGTGTCCTCTGCTTTTATTGCCTTTGGCACTCATATCTGCCTCTGCCTGTTCTTTTTTCCCTTCCTCTCCTCCTGCATGGCCTCCTCCACCCTTTTTGCCTGCAACACCAGCTCATTCACCTGTCATTACATTACACAGCATGATATTTTTGTTTCCAGCCTTTCCCTGCTGCCCATTCTTGTAAATCTCTTTGGTAATCCCACAGGGATATTTCCCATACTTCCTTATATTCCCCACAAAGAACAAAACTCTTCATTTCCTCCCACACCCTCCTCTTCCTCCTTGCATTCCTGCTCACTGTAGGCCTTTCTCACCCAAACCACCACCAAGATGCCTCCTTCAGTGCCTTTCAGCTTTCTCAGCATCAGCCCTGGACTTCTCGAGAGCCTTACAGTGGTGACAAGTAAAGTACAGACTGCCAGGGTGGTGATGTTGGACAGCAGAGCCCAAGGCCTGATTTTCCCCCCAGTACTTTAGAGCCCTTTTCTTCCATTCCCTGAGCTTTGGAAAGCATAAAAAGCAGGGGCTAAAGGCAACTTTTCACCTAGAGACATGCACAGGGAGGCTTTGTGCTCCCGCAGGCTGCAGTGCCAGCCTGACATCTGCAGTGATGAGCAGACGCCTTTCACCATCCCCCAGCTGCCTGTTCTGCCACTCTCACATTTTGGGGCAGCACACTCCTTGCACACAGCTTGGGCTGTGTGAGCTGGCTGACATGCAGATGTGTGTCTCTGCTCCCCAAACAGACAGAGTCTAACTTAGAGGCCTTAGCCTCACTGTCTTCTCCTCCTTCAGCCTTTTTCGACATTAGGAAGGGGTCCCTATTGGCTGCTTAGCATTTTACAGACTGAGAACTACAGGTTGAAGCAGGGCCAACAGTGTTTACCAACCATGTGTCCTGCATGCAGCTGGTGGGCACATCTACCTGCCCTCCTGGCAAGGACTGGATGCACCAGAAGGCAGTGAGGCCACCAGGACCCTTAGCCTGCCCCAAAGAGCAGCAGCCTCACTGCTGCTGGCCTTGCCCCACAGCTTCAGTGCAGATTTGGATGAGCAAGATGGTTGAGTGAGTAAAGGAAAAGGTGAAACCAGAAAAAAAAAAAAAAAACAACCCAAGGAAAGACACTGTGATCTCCAGGGGGAGGACATAATTTGTGATTTGTTTTAAAGGGAAATCTTCAGTGATAGTGGACTCTGGGCCAGGCACATATTTTTCTGTGGAAGCTGAGCTTTGAAAATCATTAAGCATCTGGATGTTCCTAGAAGTAAGAATTGCAAAACAGAATGCAGGGGTGGCAGGGAGGAATCTCTCCCTGGACAAATGGCTAGCCTCATTTCAGGGGGTGGAGGGAGGGCTTTTCCCAGCATTGCTGTGCTCCCAGCACCAGTGCTTTGCTCAGGAGTGAGAAGTGCACAGTATCCCGAGGGATGGGGGAACAGGGAAGCCCTGTCCCCTCATGCCAACCTGGACAGCTGCTGCACAGCCTCTCCCCTTCTCCAGCAGCTGTCTGTCACACCTCTGGCATCTCTCCCCTCCTTGTCCCTTCTCTGAAGCATTAACAGGAACAGAAGGTTTCCTTTAAATGCTGGCACATTTATCAGGTCATAATCCAAGAAGTTTAAGTCCAGAGAGATGGGAACAGAAACTCCCCCTAATACCCTGGAGGTCTGCCTGCCCTTGCCATGATCCAGTGCTCAGATTTTCCCAGGACTGCCTCCTCGTCCAATTTTCCAAACAGGACTTTCCAGTCCTGTCAGAAGAGAGCTGGGATTTTCCCCGCTCACTCCTTTCTGCAGTTCTGCCTGTTACAGCAGCCATGGACACAGCACCAGGCTCCACTGCCTCTCCAGCTGTAGTGCAGCCTCTTACCTGCCCTCCACCAGCGCCAGGGGCTCCCTTGCTCTGAAGGAATAAGCCTGCACCCCTTTCATTTAAACTCTTTTCCCTTTCACAGCTTTAGCTAGTTCAGATTAATTTTCCTGCGCATCTTTCAAGGTAAGATTTTCGTCTCTCCAGCTGAAAGCACAATGTCAGTAAACGTATGGTTCAAGAAAGAGCCTTAAAACACAAATATCTTTAACATGTATGCACACCTTGAAGGGCACACAGCTACAATTACGGTGCAACACTTAGCTTGGTTAATTATTATTCCTGGATTTCAATAGCTTGAAGGAGAGGGAGTTTCCCAAGGCCCTGCAGAGCACTCTGAGTGCTGCTGCTCTGTTCTCACCGGG